ATTATTATTTTATTATTATTATATATATATTATATTATATTATTATTATTATTATTATTATTATTATTATTATTATTATTATTATTATTATTATTATTATTATTATTATTATTATTATTATTATTATTATTATTATTATTATTATTATTATTATTATTATTATTATTATTATTATTATTATTATTATTATCATTGTTATTATGTCAATAAAATCTTATGCATTTCTACAGGACATATATGGATAATCTTTAAAAAAAACGTCCCCAATAGAATAATACTGATAATGATAGTGATAACGATGATAATGTTACGAAGAACAAAATCAAAAGAATCATCAATAGATAGCGTTAATGGAAGGAAATGAAGTAAAACGCGTTTATCAAATAATGAAACAATGAAGATGGGTGATTATAATCAAGTAGATAATTCTCAATGCTCTGTTATGATTAATGTTTATCATTAACAATGATCATCAGAATAACAACTCTGATAAGGGAAATATCAGTAAATTAAATCAGATAAGAAAAATTCGCTACTTCCTATTATTTAATTGTAATAGACATTGGACAAGAACTAAATAATTAAATAATGAATTAGTAAAAGTGTTAATCAGTTAAATACCTGTACTTTCACATGTGGATAAATGAGAAAGCAAATGCTGATATCATCTCTTCGAGAATATTTGAGTATTATATTTCTTTTCCTTTCACATCTCTTAGTTATGGTTTTACTTTTTATTTCTGATAGAGAAAAAAAACAAAAAAGGAGAGAGGGAGAGAGATAGAAAGAGAACTTTTCCCTGGCACTTTTTTTTTCGTTTTTAAAAAAAAAAAATGGAAAGAAAGAGTTGCTCGATATTTCGAATATTAATGTATTTATAAGAAAGTGATAATATTGATTGATAATATTTCTTTATCTCAAAGATATCCCATCCTTATCAAAAAATCAATAATAAATATTAACCATATTTGAGTGATATTAAAACTTTAAACGATCATACAATTGATTTCTAACCTTTCCGGTAAAAGTTAATCCATCATTTTAGTATGGTTGACATCCGGAATTCATGTCAAATGAACTTGTTACTGAGAGAAGTTTAAGTTAAAATAAACGACAATATAACAAAAGATAAACAACGATGGTAAAAAAAATACTGAAAGAATAATAAGAGCAAAAGATTAAAAGATAGAAAAGAAATAGGCATAAAATAACAAGTAAAGCATGAGAAGAGAAAGAGTAAAGATGGAGAGAAAATAGAGAGTAATTTCAATGTAGGTATTGTTTTTTTTTCTTTCTTTTCTCCCTCTCACTCTTTCCCTCCCTCTCTCTCTCTCTCTCTCTTGCGTTCATTTTTTGATGTTGTTGTTATTAGAAGAACTATTGCTTGATTGTTTCAATCCATTACTTTCGTCTACTTATTGTAAAATAAAAAGTGAGAGAAAGAAAGAGAATTTGAAAAAAAAAGATAAAGTACGAAAAGATGATGTAATTTTAGTTAAAAAAAAGCAAAAGAAAGAAAATAAAAGAAGGGAGAGAGAAAAAAGAGAGAGAGAGAGAGAGAAAGAGAGAGGGAAATGAACGTATGAATGTGAGTATGTTGTTCTTTCAAGGAAGTATTAATATTTTTCCTTCCTGCTTTTACTTATTCAACAAAAATATTAGAATATATGTATGTGAGTGTATGTGAGTGTATGTGTTGTATGTATGTGTATGTATGTGTGTATGTTAGTGTGTATGAGAATTTTTAAATTCCATGTTCTTCAATTACTTCTGGTGCCTCTTTGTCCTCTTTCCTCTCCAAATCCTTAACGTTCTTTCTATTCGTTCCTTTTTCTCTTTTACCTTTCTTCTACTTTTTCTGCACTTCTAAGAGAACAACAGAAGTTTGCATCAACAAAGGACGTTATTGATGTATTGGTGAAGCGGATAAGGAAGAGAAGAAGGAGTAAGACGGAAAATGATAACCGGAAAGTAAGGAATGAGGAAGAGAGTTGTGTTGTAGAGGAGGAAGATAGGGTAAAGGAATGAGGGAGAATAAAACCGGATAAAGAAATGAAATGATTGGGAAAGAAAATAACGGAGAGATGAAATGAAATGAATTCTGAATGAAAGAGGAATCGGAAATGTCACAGCAACTAACCTGACAGTATTGGATAAGCGAAAACAAAATAGCATGAAATAGATGAAAACCGGAATGGAAATGAAATGAAATAGGAATGGAAAGAGTATTAAGTGTGAGAGATAACAGAAAATCTGAGATGGATTACTTAGAAAAATTTTGAAAAAAAAAAAAAAAAAA